TTCCCCTTTAATATCATACCAGACCCTCATGCAGGAATAGGATAACTCCATGAGAAAACTAAACTATCCATACTAGACCCTCATCTAGGAAAATGGTTCTAAAGTCTCAAGGTTTTTAACATTCATGCATTCTATGCATGAAGGAAAAAAACCTTTTGTGTGTAGTAGCCCCCCAGCCCGGTGCCTGAGTCCCCTCTTGATCCAGCGATGTCCACGAGAGTCTCAGTTCTCCGGGAACTCTCACTCCTGATTGATTGAGGCAGCAGAAGTAGTCATTGGCTCCCACTACTATCAATTACAGGCAGTGAGCCAATCAGCAGAGGGAGGGGATGGGGCTGAGCCACAGCTCTGTGTGAATAAACACACAGAGCCGTGGCTCGGGAGCGTGCATGTTGGGTCAAAAACAGCTTGCTATGGGGGCACCCGACAAGAGGGAGGGGCTAGGCGCAACGGCAGGGGACCCGAGAAAAGGAGGACGCAGGCTGCTCTGTGCAAAATCACTGCACAGAGCAGGTAAGTATAACATATTTGTAATTTTTAATAAAAAAAGAAAAAAAACACAATAATTTAGTATCACTTTAGTGTCTACTTTGATTATAAAGGGTAACCCCATTGCAAAACTAAAGTGTGGTTTTTCACCATTAATATTCATAACAGACACACATCTAGGAGAACGGTCAGCTATAATTATTAAAGGGAACATTACGTCAAAAATTAAAAGCCGAATGGGTTTCCTTTTTAATATACCAATCCTCATCCAGGATTAATATCTGCTATGATTCTAAAAGGTAACTCTACTGCAAAACTTAAGTGTGGTGCCTCACTTTAACCGGTTCCCGCCCAGCATTCTGTACAATGACACAACCAATAATAAAACACTTGAGCTGAATGCATGCCCAAATATAACATATGAATAAATTCGCTCACTTAAGCGATAATAAACAGATATTGAACACTGCTGCCACCTTGAATAAAAGAACTGTAAATAAACACAAATGGTCTAGTGGCGCTGTGACCAGCTAGTGAATATAATCTCTCAAATCTAAGCACTGCAAGTGTGATCTCTACAATTTATCCAGTTGTGGCAAGATAGCTGTAACATACAGTCTCAGTAGAAATAGAAGAGAGTGACTCGATCCAATTGGCATCTTGCAAGTCGTAGAAGCTTAGACCGAAAACTTGTGTAGATCTTCACAGATGAACATCAGATACTGTAGGTCAAAAGATCATAAAAGATTTAGCTCCAGCAATTACATCTCAGAATACAAACTAAAGAAACACTGAAAAGTGGGTGAGAGACTAGCGAATACAAAGCAATCTCCTAGCTACGTTGGGAGGAAGGGACAAACTTATTTAGGATAAGTTCACCTTTGTAACATGTTACATCCTAAATACAGGAAAAACATGTTACAGTACAGTACCTGCTCGCACGAGAGTTCTGGTTAGTTCTTTAATTCTTCCTGCTCATCAGGAACTGTCGGCTGACCCTGGATCCTGGTCTGCAGGACCCTGGCATTGTATCCACAATCTGCTGTTGGCAGGTGTAATGTTTTACAGGCTGCCGTGTAAAAAATAAACACATTTTTTTACCTGCAAACAAATGTGCATATATGTTTTCTTTGCTTTAAAAATGTGAATTTATCCTTTAGAGGCAAACACACAACAAAGCATGTGTAACATGATAGTAACCTAAAAACCTAACATTACCCCCCTAATCACTTAACAGTAAGCTTAACCCCAAAAACAGGCCCTTCATCATACAGCCTCCCCCAGCAAGGTATATTCACTGACCTAACTTCCTTCACCACCTCCCCACTGTAGGGGTACACCATGGACCAAAACGATTTTTAAATTATGGATAAAATGGAAAAGGGGGTTAGAAAAGGGGTGTATAACTTTTTAACTTTCCTGGGTTACATTAGAAGAACAGGAATTGTCTTGGGCCACACATAAAATATACTAAAAGTAAGGATAACTGATGAGCAGAAAAAGTTGGGCAGATCACAAGTGATAACAATTACTGATACAGGCAGTCCCCAAGTTTGACCACGATAGGGCCGGGAGGTTTGCTCTCAGGGTGGATAAAAATCGATGATTTAAAAAAAAAAAAAATAAAAATCTGTTTTTCTTTCATTTACATTTTTTTATTTTATCACATTTGTTTTAATAATTCAGTTTATTCAGCATGAAATGGAGCTTAGCTATGTAGCATGAGGCTGTATATTCTGCAATATTTACATTTTTGGTAAACTCATTCAATGAATGCACTGCACTGATGCATTCATATAATTTCACAGTAACCATAAGAAAAAACATGACATAAAAGAATTTGAGTAGTCCTCCAACTGTGTGTGATTAACCTATTAACCTGTTCTGATATCGCTGTTTTACTAACCTGACAGCCTGTGATTCTAAAAAGGAAACCTTCATTTGGTTTGCAAATATTAAAGATTCTAACTACAAGCAAAAATGAGTTGGATTCCTTACATTTAAAAGAGCACCTGTCATTTTAGATCCATCATGGCAGTGCCTGCTAGCGGGCATCCACCACGTTCCTCACCTTGTTGTGTCACTGCCGCATCACCAGCCATCCCATTAACGTGAATGGGACTGTCAGTGAGTCAACAGCGGGTCAGAGGAGGAGCCGCTGCGGAACAGAGATGACAGTTGCTCTTTAAAAATGATTGAAAGCGAACCTCTTCACTAGAGATTTAAATCAAATCCACCCATTGTTCTTAAGCTGAATCTGTATGTAAGTTGTAACACGTACATTTTTTAAGTGTAAAAAAAGCCAAAAAAATCTTTTTAAGTCTTTTGGATAGCATAGGGAAGGGTTAACACCCCTACAATGTTCGGTTTGCTGTCTGTGCTTCTGTTCAGAAGATTTCACCTCACCTTCTGTCTCTGACATTTGGATTTTGAAAATTTTGGGTTGTCGTGGAAACCATGATTGGTGATAAACCTTCAGTGGAGAAACCTTTTTTCCATGATAACTTTTACAGAAGTGAATTTCTCTTACTAGGAGTAGATTTCCTCTCACTTCTTGTTTCTACCTCCGTTTGGAAGTAGGAGCTCGTAACTCAGATGTTTGTAACTCGGGGACTGCCTGTAAAGATAATGAACCTGAGTAATAAAACTTAATGTTTTGTAATATTTTTTATTATAAAAGAGTGTAACTTAAACCTAGTGCAATATTTGACACTGGTTTTTTTTTACAAACTAACGCATCAATATCAGGTTCGATGGATGTAGTAGCAATCCACAGGTTGGCCCCCCCTGGGTTAGAATATGTTATACTTTAAATGCTGTCTGTGTTCCCTTTAGGGGGATTTCCACTCTTCTTTAGAATGCACAGTGAGCTGCACATTCACAGCTCAGTGTACATTCTCATCACACCTCAGTGCTGAAATGAATACATTCCCCTGCACATGTGTGGTAGTTAGCACACATGAATGACAAGGGTCGGGATGGGGGGGGGGGGATATGAGTGACGATGGTCTGGGGGGGGGGAGATGAGTGACGATGGTCGGGGGGGGGGGGAAATTGATGAGTGATGATGGTTGGGGGGGGGGATGGATGAGTGACGATGGTTGGGGGGGGGGATGGATGAGTGACGATGGTTGGGGGGGGGGGATGGATGAGTGACGATGGTTGGGGGGGGGGGGATGGGATGAGTGACGATGGTCGGGGGGGTGGGATGGATGAGTGACGATGGTCGGGGGGGGGGATGGATGAGTGACGATGGTCGGGGGGGGGGGGATGGATGAGTGACGATGGATGGGGGGGGATGGATGAGTGACGATGGTCGGGGGGGGGGGTGGGATGAGTGACGATGGTCGGGGGGGGGGGATGGATGAGTGACGATGGTCGGGGGGGGGGGATGGATGAGTGACGATGGTCGGGGGGGGGATGGATGAGTGACGATGGTCGGGGGGGTGATGGATGATGAGTGACGATGGTCGGGGGGGGGTGATGGATGAGTGACGATGGTCGGGGGGGGGGGTGATGGATGAGTGACGATGGTCGGGGGGGGGGGGGGGGGTGATGGATGAGTGACGATGGTCGGGGGGGGGTGATGGATGAGTGACGATGGTCGGGGGGGGGCCTGATGGATGAGTGACGATGGTCGGGGGGATGGATGAGTGACGATGGTCGGGGGGGGATGGGATGAGTGACGATGGTCGGGGGGGGGGGGGTGAGTGACGAGCGCACGTCGGGGGGGGGGGGAATGAGTGACGAGCGCCCGGGGGGGGGAGGATGAGTGACGAGCGCCCGGGGGGGGGGGGGGATCAGTGATGATGGTCTGAAGGGCGGGTAAACAAGGGATCAGTGACAAGGGTCCTGGGGGGGGTGCTGGGGATGAGTGACAATTGTCCAGGAAAGGGGGGGGGGGGGGGGGGTGACTGCTGAGGGTCCAGGGTGAGTTATGATGAGGGTCTGAGGCGGGAACCTAGCGGCAACTCCCCCAGACTTCTGTCAGTCGCAGGGGCAGACTGACCATTCGGGCACTGCCCGAGGGCCCAGGGTCAGTAGAGGGCCCCATGAGATGCCCCTGGTACCTTTCATTGGCTTTTTCGGGTGTGTGGGCGAGGACACAGGGGCACCATGATCCCCTATTGCCCGGGGGCCCCATGAGTTTTCAAGTTTTCAGTCCGCCCCTGATCAATCGTCACCTCAGATCCCATCGCCCATGATTCTTCTATCCTCCTCACTCACCGTTCGGATCCTTATAACCCTCCACTTGGCTGTATATGGACACCCCATAGAGGGGTCGGGTGCAGCCCGTGGCGGCCCCTCCTCCCCCCACACAACGCAGTGTCTCAATCGTTCGGTTACACTAACTGCTCTCCTCATCGCCGTCTACCCCTCTTCCTGTCATGTCCGTGTCTGGACGCTCCAATAAAGTTTTCTGTCAATAATCAAAAATGATTGGATCACAGGACTCTGTGATGCGGGCAGTGAAGGGAGGATTTTTAGGTCGGGGGGCGGGGAAGGTGTGGATTGGCTGGGCTGCGGCCGGGCGGGTGATTCAGTGTGATGGCGGAGAGAGGCTCCGGAGAGGGGGGTCGGTGCTGAACAAACTCCGGGAGCGGAGCGCCGGGCTGTACAGGGTGGCGGTGTCCGGTAGCGGCGATCAGACGGCCTCTCTTAGGATGGAGGCGGACATTATGCGGAGGTGACTACATACCGGGGACAGCTGTCCGGGTCCCGCCGGGTGGGGGAGGGCGGTGTTATTACACCCGTTATCAATGCCCCGGCTCCCCCAGGCCATACAGAGGTACCGACCTACCTTCATGCGGCTGGATTGTAAACCACAAGGGCCGCTGCAGCCTGTGAGGGCCGTTCTAGTCCGTGAGAACCGTTGCGGTCTATGAGGACTGGTCTGGCCCCGGAGGGCCACTGTATTCTGGTCCGTGAGGGCTGCTGCGGCCCACGAGGGGTGCTGCACTCTGGTACGTAAATGCCGTTCTAATCCGTGACGGGTGCTGCAGAGGGCCGTTGGTGACAGCTGGTGCAGCCCAGGAGGGCCCTTCTGGCCCATGAGGAGCGCTGTGGTATGTGAGGACCATTCTGATCCTTAGGGGGGCTTCTGAGTTCTGTTACGTAAAGACCAGTTCTTGCCCCCGAGGACTGTGAGGAGCTCTGAGGGTCTTCCACAAGTGCTGCTGCCGCCCATGCGGGGTCTGTGATGTGATCAACAGAGGGCCGTCCGTGAGGGCTGCTTGTTGTATACAAGGGCCATGAAGGGTTCCGAGCTCTATGTGAAGGCCCTTGTAATCCGTGAGGGGTGCTGCAGTCTGCAAAGGCCAATGTGGGCCAACTCTGCCCCCCCCCCCCCTTCCCTAGGGCCAATGAGGGCCATCCACAAGTACTGCTGCGGTCCCTGATGTCACAGTTTTGACAAGGCCTTCATAGAATAAAAATGTCCCCACACCAAAAATGCACCCCATACTCATTCACATGGGGGAGATATTCTGCTGAGCTGCCCCCCCTCATGTGCATGTGACCTGGTATGGTTCAGGGCATTCACTTGTCCACCCCCCCCCTCCTCCTTTACTGGCCTGCATGCTTGGATAAGGGTCTGGTATGAATTTTGGGGAGTCCACACCATTTTATTTGGGGGGGCACGGGGTTCTCCTCAAAATCATAGCAGACAAAGGGCCTGTTGTGGACTACCAAATCCCCCCTATTGTACAGCGCTGAGCAAACCCTTTGGCGCTATATAAACTCGTATGTTTACCATTTTACACACTGTCAGCAGGTAATCTGCAGGTAAGACTCCTCATGGGTGGAAAGCCGGCAGGCGCTGAGAGCGGGGACGAGTCATTGGTTGTTAGGCTCCTAACAGCCAAAACCCAAATCGCTTTGGTACAAAAGGGGAAAAATGCATCGGATTACATAAAAAAAAAAATGCACATGCAGAAATGCATCTGCGTGTGTTTTTGTGTGTTGTGAACCGTCCCTCCAGGAAAATCTAATCTATGCACATATTTTTGCAGGAATAGTGCCTGAATTATCTTTGTTCCCCACAGGAGCCTGCAAAGTCTGTGACCTGTGATCAGTGGACGGTGGTGCTATGTCAGCCTCCTGGACACTCTTCCTCCAGCTTTCTGTCTGCTCCTATTATTGGCTTTCAGTTAGAAAACTGGAGGAAATGGCAAAGGACTACAATTGTGCTGATTACCCCACTCATAGTCCATTGACAATTACTCGCCTGTGATGGCAGTCCGGACTTGGACTTTATTCATTCACCGATCCCTGTATAGTTTACTAACAGTCCTCCTCTCTGTCAGCTCGGGCACACTGCAGTGGACAGCCACCCAAAGCAGTGTAAATACAGTGAAGCACACACCCCCCCCGCCCCCTAGTAAAACACTCTACACACAGTTAACCCTTTGGTCGCCCCTCATTTTAACCCCTTCCTGCCCAGTGCCATTAGTACAGTGTCAGCGCTAGAACAGGAGTACTTGTTCCAATGACAACTGTCTTAAGGGTCCGTTCACATTAGGAGCTGCATGTGAATCGCACAGGAACGTTGTGTGGTTTATGTGCGATTCACATGCATGTCTGTGCAATGCGATTTCAGCCCTATTCATTTTGAATGTGCTGGAATTGAACTGCACTAAAAGTAGTGCATGCACTACTTTTTGAAACACATGGCAACCACATTGCATTATAGTTTTGTACCATGTGATCTGGTGTGGGCAAACGCAGTGCATTTGCAACCTGCATTTGAGGTGTTGGCAACTTTGAACTGACCCCCACAGCAGATCGCAGGAGCATTGTGATTGAAATTTGGTGCGGGAAGCCGCATGGGCCCGCGGTTCTCCTGCACTGCATTCTATTGTGAACAGGCCCTTAGATGGCATATGCCTTATCTTTTACCTGTTGATTCTACAAGACAAGGAGTGAAGGGGAATCTCCTTAATGATACACAGGTGGGAAAATTCACTGATAGTGGTTTTAATCCTCCCCTACTCTGTCCAAAATGGGGAAAAAGAGGTTTTAGCTTTGGATATACTTTATTGCTGTAATTGTATGTGACAGTTACAGTATTAAACAGAGGCACCCCGCCATCTTTAGGCTGCGGTGGTGTGTGTGTACGGTGTCCTACAGTCATGGCCAAAAATATTGGCACCCCTGCATTTCTGTCATATAATGTGCCACTTCACCCAGAAAATTGTTGAAATTACAAATGTTTAAGCATTCTCATGTTTATTTCTTTTGTTTATATTGGTATGACACAAAAATGTGGAGAAACAAAAAGTCAAATTCCACACAAAACCCCCAAAATGGACTGGACAAAATTGTTGGCGCCTTGTAAGAAATAATTGCATTCCAAGTTTGTGATGCTCCTGTAATTTGTAATTCAACTCACCTGTATTGGTGCTGACAAAATAGAAATCACACCGGCAACCAGTTAAAATGGTGAAAAATTGACTCAACCTTTCTGTTGTGTGTCTCTGTGTACTGCATGCAGAAGAGAGAGCAGCAAAGAATTGTCTGAGGATTTGAGAACAAAAATTGTGGAAAAGCATGGACCGTCTCAAGGTTACAACTCCAGCTCCAGAGTTCTTAATGTTCCTGTGTCCACTGTGCGCAACATTGTCAAGAAGTTTACAGCCCATGGCACTGTAGCTAATCTCCCTGAACGTGGACAAAAAAGAAACATTGATCAAAGATTGCAACGAAGGATTGTTTGGTGGATAAAGAACCTCGATCAACTTCCAAACAAATTCAAGCTGACCTTCAGGCACAGGGTACAACTGTGTTAGCTCACATTATACGTCGCCATCTGAATGAAAAGGGACGCTATGGTAGGAGACCCAGGAGGACCCCACTGCTGACACAAACATAAAAAAGCCAGATTGGAGATTACCAAAACTTACCAGGACAATGACCAAAAGCACTGAGACACACGGAGCAGCTGGTGAAAGAAGAGTGGTCCAAAATTCCAGTAGAGCGCGGTGTAAGAAACTCATTGCTGGTTACAGGAAGCGATTGATTTCAGTTATTTCCAAGGTGTGTGCTAACAAATAATAAATTGAGGGTGCCAGTCATTTTGTCCAGTCCATTTTTGGGGTTTTTGCGTGGAATGTGTCAGATTTGGCTTTTTGTTTCTTCACTTTTTTTGTGTCATATCAGTACAAACAAAAGAAATAAACATGAGAATGCCTAAACATTTGTAATTACAAGAATTTTCTGGGCGAAGTGGTGCCTTGTCTGACAGAAATGCAGGGGTGCCAGTATTTGTGGCCATGACTGTAGCTGATATAGTGATCACAAGATCAGGAACCACTGATTAGTTTCTGATAATTAGTGGGGTCTGAGGCTGTCAGTGATAGGCCTGATAGGAGCTGTTCAGTGTCGGCTGCTAGCTGTCAAAGGGAGACCATAGTTTAACATCCCTCAGTAGGGGGAACAATAACCTACAGATCAGAGATGCTATGGGGTTAAGGCTGAAGTGTTCATAACACGTGTTTTTCTATTTTCCCGCAAATTCGCTCTATGCACATTTTGTTTTTGTATGTTTATTTCCTTTTTCTGTTTTCTATTCCACTTAATTTTGTGCTTTCACAGGCTTCGGGAACAACTGAAGCAGCATAAGTTTGATCTCCAGAACAGACTGAGTGCAGGTATATCTTAACTTTTATTATTTTAGTCCCTATTTCTATATCTACTCCGTAGTAGAACACCGTTTGTGATTCTTTCACACATACACAGGGTTGATTTTTCTTTAGTTTGCAGCCCTACCATGTCATTTTTAATGTGAGTCATATCTTGGTGATAGAAAAAGTAGTGTATCTAAACCCAAGAACAGAAATTTAACATACTGCAGTTTACTGGTACTTAGATGTGGTGGCTGCATTAGTTTTTCTTTGATTTCTCCCTTTTATTTTCATCTGTGATCCGGCCTGTAGCACACTTCCATAAATACAGTATGTGAGTGTTGTCATCTTAAACAGGAAGTGCAGCATTGTCGCCCTAGAACAGAAAGTTTTAGGATTACAAAACATCTCCCCCACTCTTCATACCACAGTTGAGTAGGTGCTCTGTAGTCTAAAAACACTTTCTGATAACCCTGTTTAAAGCAGTAGTAAGCTCCCTTTTTTTTTCTTTTTTTTTTTTTTTTGATAGATTGGCCCCTGCAGTGTTCTGACAACACTGCTGCACTGCTCTTGCATTCAGAGCAGAGTTTTCACCCTCAAGTATGCAGTGCTTGCACTGCAGTAGAACTGGCTGCAAGTAGGCTCAATTCATAAAGCTGACAGACCACATAGGGATTCCCATTAAAAAGGTGATTGTTCTTTGCAACCAGTAAGATTTAAAAATTGCTCGTGGCATTAAATAAAATCATTTAAAATCATTAAATAAAGATTTTTATCCTTGTGTAAAGATTTGTGGATTAAGCCCATTGTGAGGGGCATTAACTACCAGCGTTGTCACTAATGATTCACAAGCATGTGGTTTGTGAATCGGCAGCTGGCCGCACCTAGCCCTCCCCATCGTTTTATGGATTTATAGCACTTCCTCTGCTGCTCAAAACCCTTGCAGTGCATTCTAGGGGGAGCATGTAAGGCACAATTGAAAGAGTATTTGGCTCACTTGGGGGAGGTCAATCTGCATGCTCAGGAGTCACATCATCCCATACCAGCCACTGAAAATGTCCCAACATCCTGAACCGGATTATGACCAGGTGAAGATGTTGGCACTGGCTTGGGAGCTTGCAGATATTGTGTTGCTGGAGGGCAAGTGAGTATAATTTGGCTTGTACCTGTTCCACTGGCCGTTTGCATATAGGTGGTGGGTGGGCTTTAACGTCGAGCTACCGAGCATATCTATGAGGAGTGGCTTTTCCATGCTGAGAGAGATGAGATACTAATTCAGGAGACTTGCTAACTCCATACTGCATAATATATTTATTTGTTGATGTTTCCCATATGACTCAAACATGTTTAGTTTAACATTCTTTAAAACTAAAAAAAATAAAAGAAAAAATAGTAGATTTCAACTTTAAGGTTGAGCTGTCGCAAACATATGCTGAAACAATACATAGGTGGAGGTTGGGTGCTATAAAAAAAAAAAAAAAAATCAACACAATCGGTAGACTTGGTAACTGAAGCTGTATATGCAAAGCTTTTGCTGTAAAAGTTGAGTTTATCTGATCATATTAAGCCTCCTATCTTATTTAGGAACCAGTTTGAAGGTTCAAGAGATGAGGGCTAAGCTTGACTTTTCACAGGCAATGTTTTATATTTGCATAGATATGACCAGCCTATATCTCTAGATTCGCAGTATTATTTAGTTTTGTTTTTTTTACTGAAGATATACCACGGGTGTGGAGATTTTTTTAAAAAAACTACTTGTTCAGGGACTAAATCACCCAAATCTACTTGTCGCTCATGACAATCTACTTGTCCTGATAAAAAACAAAAAACATGTTTTTTTAACCAAAACCGTATTTAAATTAGAAGTGATTTTAGGAATGTCGGGGGGGGGGGGGCTTTTAAAAACAAAAGAGGCTTTATGGCGACTTAAATGTGTATGAACACCGATTGGCTGCTCATCAGGAAAGGGTGGGTCAGGGCTTATACTTTATCCCTTTCGCTGCCAGAGCTGTTTTTGTGTTTTTTTTTCACGTTATAAAAAAATCATTTTAGGCCTGAAGATTACACAAAACCCTCAAACATTATTATACAGTATTTATAAAGTGCCAACAGTTCGCTCAGTGCTGTACATTACAAAGGGAGACAGAACATGCGACAGTACAATAACAATTATATAAAATAAAACCACTTCCTAGATAAATTAATGAATAATAAAATTATATAAATTCAACTCCCCGCAGCACTATCAACACCTTCACCTCTGAAGATGTATAATTATTAATAAACAGAAAATGCTATATAAAATTTGAACCCCCAGCAATGACTTTATAAGTGAAGTCCAGACCCTAAAAGTCCACAAAATAAATCAAATTCTTCTTATGTGATAGCGGTGACAAATAAATGTCCAAAAAGTATATAATCCTTCCAATGTTTTCCATGATAATATTCCCTCAAAAAAAAAGAAATATCACATAGTGTATTATCTTTTAAATAACATAAAATATAGTGACATCACTCAAATGAATAACCAATCAAACTGGTAATCGGTGTAAAAAGTGAACAAAGTGAAAAACTGTAAATCCAAACATTCAAGAAATTGCATGACCAATTAAATAAAAAAGATACTGAGATTAAAAAGAAAAAACATAGGAAATATATGAGAGATATGGGAGATTATCAGAGCAACAACATTTATAAATGGCAGAGTGTTATTGCTAATAACTGCCATTCTACTAATACTACGCCAGAAAATTCACCTATTAAAGGAAAGATGCAAACAAAAAAAATACGGTTCCCATTGACAAAATGGAAGATAAAGAGAGATAACGTTAAATATACACAATTGGTTCAACCCAAATCTCCGTGGAAGTCTAATGAAGGAAATTATGGGAACCTTTATAGGACCAACTATAATGTCCCAGTCCATAATAGATTCCAACCTCTGGAGGGATGGAGAAATCCCCGCGGATTCAATGGAAATCCAAGAGGATATAGGAATTTTTTTCAACGGAATTAGAGGGAGACCACCGGGACCCCCACCAAGAACCCCTTATCAGCAAGGATGGGGAAGAGGAACACCAAGGGACCCACCTTATCCCCACCAAACTTTTCACAGAGGGGAGATGGAGGGATTTCCCCAAGTAAGGGGGGAAGACCAAATAGAGTATGTGATAGAAAATTCAGAAACACAAGGTATGGAACCAAAAATGGACAACAAAAGAAAAAGGAAAGATGTTTAGGGAAAGGGATATATAATCTCAGCTCTATTCCCTTGACACAGAATGAGGTATATGTCCTTGATAAGGGACTTAAATTTGCCCCGAAATCGAATATTAGTAGGTTTGGGGTGTACATCAATGTGAACAAATCTATAAAGAAATTAAACATTAAAAAATATTTTTTCGTCGTCCTTACCTGGACCTAATTCTTTGGAGAACAAACTAGGTCCTTCTAATTTTAACTTGTACACACACCGTGGATTAAGGAACAATTCTGTATTTAATCCGGTTAATAACAGGAATCAATTTGTAGAAGTTTTCAAACATATGGTAACAGAAGAAATTAGGAATATTGAAGCTAAGAGATATAAGGAGGAAGCAAACTTCCAGGAAGGGTTGGATTCGTTGAAGGAGCGGAATAATGTTGTGATTAGGCCGGCAGACAAGGGAGGGGGGGTAGTTGTGTTAGATCGGCATATGAGGAAGTTATGGGAAATATTTTAAAAGATACAGATACTTATATCGAAATTAAAAGTAATCCCCTAAATAAATATAAAAAAAACACTCCAAGAATTGATTAATAAAGCAAAGAAAGATGGAATTGTAAATGAGAAAGAGGCGATATATTTAGTCCCATTATGCCTATTATATATTACCTACCTAAGATACACAAAAGTCTAACCAATCCCCCAGGTATACCGATTTATTAATGGTTTTGGAGGTATACACTCTAGGACTGGAGAGTACATTGATTTTTTTCCTTCAGCCTATAATTAAACAAATGCCATCTTATCTCAGAGATGCCCAAGATGTTATTGACTTGGTTGAATTTAGAAAAGTCTCTAGTGATACTATATTGGTAACCATTGACGTAAACTCCCTGTATACTAATATAAAACATGAAGATGGAATCAAAGCGGTTAAATGGGGTTTAAAAAAATTTACAGATTTGCATACAAAACAAGGAAAATTCATTATTAAATTACTAGAATTCTGCATGAATAAGAATTATTTTTGATATGGAGGTAGTTTTTATGAGCAAAAGAAGGGAGTGAGTGACAATGGGCGCACAAATTTGCGCCCAGCCTAGCCAATATTTCTTTAAGTAAATGGGAGGAGAATGTAATTTTTAATAAGAAATGGGAGGGGCTAGTTTTATGGAAAAGATATATTGATGACATCCTGCTTATCTGGGATGGTCCTATGGATTCGTTAAAGGCTTTTATTACGGTAATAGAAAATAATGAACACGATTTGGGTTTTACGGTTAATATGGATAATTGCTCTGTGAATTTCCTGGATTTAAATATTTTTATAGAAGATGTCATTTTAACAAAAACCTATTTTAAAGAAACAGGAATGGTTACATACCTACCCATAGTTGTCACACTATCCTACCTGGATTAATGGGATTCCAAAAGGGCAAATTTTTGAGAATTCTGAGAAATTGTACACGCTTGAAAGAATATATTGAACAGACAGAAATTATTAAGAATAGATTTATGGCAAAAGGGTATAACCCAGAGGTGCTGGAAAAGATAAGATTTGAAGTAAGCAAAAATTATATAGGAAATAAGAAATGTAAACCTGTACCTAGAAAGAAAAATAATAAGGTGGAATATGCATTTTTTTCAGGGTACAGTAACCAATACAAGGAAATTGAATCTATTTTTTATAAATATTAGCCTTTGTTTAGAAAAGATTACGTTGTAGGACCTAATATTCCGGTAAAACCTACATTTATTTATAGGAAAACAAAAAAAAACCTAGGGATGTCTTAGTTAAAAATATTATATCTCCTCCCAAACAAAAGAAAAAAACATATGTTTGATTTTATTGGTTTTTATCCTTGTAAAAAATGTATTATGTGCAAAGTTACCAATACCAAAACAAGGGTGGTTTCGGGTTTTACTTCATGCAGTACGGGTACTAATTTTAATATTAAGAATCTTTATTACCTGCACCACCCCCTTTGTCACCTATTTGTTAGAATGCCCATGTCATCTTCAGTAAGTAGGCAGGACTAAGAGACCACTATACAAAAGATTGAGTGAACATGTTACCAACATTAAAAAAGACCAAAAGAATGTCCAACATTGTCTTTCGAGACATTTTAGGGACTGTCACAATTGTGACCCGAGTGGTCTAAAATTTAGTGGAATAGATAGGGTTGATACACATTGGAGGGGGGGGGGGGGGTGACAAAATTAAGGCTATTTCGAAAAATTAAACTTTTTGGATATATTAGCTACAGACCCTAAGACCAAGGGATTTAAATGTAGATCTAGATTTGAACTGTTTTATTTCCAATTTTTAATGGGGGTTAAAGTTATAGGTAGGATCACATCTTGGAGTATATGGGGATTCATATTAATTATAAAATATAATTTAATATTTTAAATAATCTATTTGAAAATAATATATTAAATATAATTATGTATTAAATAAGAGTAATATTATATATATTCTATTTTAAATTGTGTGAAATAGAATATTGGGGTAATGTAGTATGATACTATACCTATAACTTATTTTAAAAATTTATATTTTATTTCTTTGTATTATATTATATTTTTTCGTAATTTATTGGCCATAACTTTATATAGATGGGTAGAGCTCCTCCTTAAATACTGTCCTTTTTAAAAAAATATATGCAAGACAGCCATATTATAGTATTACTTTTAGGTAGGTATTGTGTATAGTCTCATTGATTAATTTTTGATATAATAACTGCTGATATATGTATGTATATATGAGATTTTATATATATGTTATCTATTTCTGATATAATAACTGATGATATATGTGTGTGTGTGTGTGTGTGTGTGTGTATATATATATATATATATATATATATATATATATATATATATATATAAGGTTTTATCTATTTGTTACTTATATTCTTTTTTAAAAATGTATATGTTATCTATGTACCATTAGTAGTTATGTAGTACCATATGCGGTACTGTTACGAGAATCCTCTGTTGCGGTATCCCTCTTAATATGAACGGAAAGTGAGGACATTATTCCCCTCTCCAATATGGCGGCACGTATTACGGAGCTGTTTGGAGGAGGGCTATAAATAGAACTGCTTGACGTCCTTATCCCTTATGATTAAGTCAATGACGAAACGTGTCAAGGGAAGTGATGTCATGACGCACACGGGAACCGGAAGTTGACCGGCGGCCATTTTGGAAACGGGAAAGATCATCTATCCCTGGGAGTTTCCTGGATGGCAGCAAGGCTACTGCATGGTATTATAAGTGGTTTTGAAGTTTATAAAGTGTGAGCATTCTGATTAAAGTTCATTTATACTATTATATCTTGGCGGTATCACACTATTCTGTCCCTCATATGTTTACATTTATATGGAGCATGGTATATGGGGATATATGGAATATCATGGCTAATGGACCCAGATAGTGCCATGAAGATGAAGTAAACCTGGTTGAGATCTACAGGAAGGCCGTCTTCCACCAGTTATTGTATGATATTGAAAGCGTCTGTTTTTGGAATATTGGTAAGGGTATGCATTCCTTACTGCAATTTAGAAGTGTCACAGTGGTGGTTTGAGTAGGAGCACTGAAGAGTGATTCATAGTACAATAACAATACAATACGATACACCAGGGGATCGAGGGCCCTGCTCTTTCGAGCTTACAATCTAGGAGGGAGGGGATAGTGGTACAGGAGGAGATAGCTGTGGAGGAGGTGGGCAATTAGCAGGGGGTGGGGAAGGCTTCCCTGAAGAGGTGGGTTTTCAGGGTGTGCCTAAAGGAGAGTAGGTGATAGTCTGATGGATTGGGGTAGGGAGTTCGAGAGGATGGGTGACGCCCTGGAGAAATCCTGGAGGCGTGCATGGGAGGAGGAGACCAGGGAACTAGAGAGGAGGCCTTGTGAGGAGCGGAGTGTGCGTGTTGGGTGGTACTTGGATATTAGGTCGGTGATGTAATTTGGGGCAGTATGATGGACAGCTTTGTACCTCAGTGTTAGGATTTTGAATTTGATCCGTTGTGCAATCGGAAGCCAGTGGAGGGATTGGCAGAGGGGGGTGGCAGAAACGGAGCGGTTGGTAAGATGAATGAGTCTGGCAGCCGTATTCAGGATTCGACTGAAGCGGGGATAGCCTGTGGCGAGGCAGGCCAGTGAGGAGGGAGTTGCAGTAGTCCAGTCGTGATATGATGAGGGAGTGGATGAGCTGTTTAGTGGTTTCTGGGGTTAGGAACGTGCGGATTTTGGCGATGTTGCAGAGGTGGAGTCTGCATGAGTTTGTTAGTGATTGGACTTTGGGCTGGAAGGATAGGTTGGAGTCCAGAATGACACCAAGTACTCTGGCCTGCGGGGCGGGCCTGATAGTGGCATTGTTGGACGTGATGGAGAAGTCAATGGGGGGTGGTGTGCGGGCTGGGGGGAAGACTAGGAGCTCGGTTTTGGAGAGGTTCAGTTTAAGGAAGTGGAGTGACATCCAGTCTGACATGTCATTTAGTAGGTTTGTGATTCGGGCGGAGACTGAGGGGGTGAGGCGAGGGGTTGAGAGATTTGTGTGTCGTCAGCATAGAGGTGGTAGTTGAAGCTGTGAGAGTGCATGAGCTGGCCAATTGAGGAGGGAGTGTAGATGGAGAAGAGAAGGGGCCTGAGGACGGAGCCTTGAGGGATCCCAACAGAGGGGGAGTGAGGGGGAGGTGGTAGCGTTATAGGAAACGCTGAAGGAGCGTTGTGATGGGTAGGACGAGAGCCAGGAGAGAGCGGAATCTCTGAGGCCGAGGGAGTGTAGTTTTTTGAGGAAGAAGGGGTGGTCGACTGTGTCGAAGGCCGCGGAGAAGTCAAGGAGTAGGAGCACTGAATAGTGGCCATTAGCTTTGGCGGTTAGCAGGTCGTTGTATAGTTTGAGTAAGGCAGTTTCGGTGGAGTGTAAGGGACGGAAGCCAGACTGTAGGGGATCGAGGAGGTTGTTGTCATTGAGGTGAGAGCTTAGGCGATTGTAGACTAAGCGCTCGAGTTTGGATGTGAATGGGAGCAGGGAGATGGGTCTGAGGTTGTTCGGGTCATTGGGGTTCAGGGAGGGCTTTTTAAGTAAGGGAGTGATGTGTGCGTGCTTCAGAGGGGAGGAGGAGGGAATGCGCCGGAAGAGAGGGAGAGATTAAAGCTGTGGGTGAGGGAGCGTAGGATGGAGGGGGAGGCAGGCAGGTCGTAGGAGTTGTGAGGGGATAGGGTTGAGGGGGCAGGTGGTGAGGCGGGCATCAGAGAAGACCTTGGTGACCTCCTCGATGGTAGTAAGGTCGAAGGTGTGGAGTGTTGAGGGAGCTTCAGTGTGAGGAATGTTAGGTGGGGTGGAGGTCAGAGCAGTGGCGAGGGAGAGGGGTGATGAGGGGGTAGCTGTGTGAGAGGGGACGGGTTTGGAGGGAGTTTGAGCAGCGGCGATGTCCCTGCGAATTTTGTCAATCTTGTTTTTGAAGTGATTGGCAATCTCAAGAGTGGTGAGTGAGGTGCTGGGTGGAGGTGGGGGCGGAGAGAGCAGAGAGTTAAAGGTGGAGGAGAGGGTCTTGATGAGTCAAGGGCGGTTGACATTGAGTTGTTATAGGCAGTCATAGCCAGGTCGGGGTAGGACGGGGAGGATGCTGTCGTGGAGTTGATCAGCTGCAGAGTGGAGGGGGGCAGGGTTCAGGTTGTGGAGGTTTCGGCTGCCGCTGATTGCTTCACCTGACAGGTGAGCCCGCTGCTTGCCCGCAGCAGGGCTAAAGGAAGAGAAACACTACCTACACGGTGCCCGGAACTACATGTCCCAGGAAATGGGAATCAAACATCTCTGTATCTTCTGCTTAAGTATAACCAATTGCTGAAGGTTTTTGCCATTTCTTTCTGTAGTTATTGCCATTTGTCAGTTTAATTTAAAAATGACCTATAAACTCCCCGTTTCCTTTTTTTAACATTCATTGCAGGTGAAATATCTGTCGACGAAGTTGAATATATCACTGAGGAGAATCTGCAGGAGGCGTAAGTGTGTTTTTGCCCATCCAAGCATCTGCATCATACATCCTTGTCTAACTTTATGTAGAGACAACTTGCCATCATTGTAAAGTCTGAAATGGGGAAGACGTATTTACTTACACCATGTTTCCCTATGTGTGCCTATTTCAGTGTTGTCTACTGCTAGATACATTGGACACATTTGTTCAAGGTTCTGAGGCAAGAGTTGTTATCCTTAACAATTCAGTTTTCCTTTCAGTCTTCCATGTGCAAAATGAGGAGAAATTACTTGCTTTGGGCACTGTTCATTTATACATTTTATGCCAGTTAAAAAACAAATTCAAATATATGTTAAAGTAGTTACAAACCTCAGATATGAACAAAACATATCCCTCTATAGTGTGTACTTGTCTCAATTAGTAGCACTAAGTTTCATTTCTGTCTGCTGCTACGTTTTTCTGCTGTCTACATGAATCATGTCTGACAAGTTTTTCTGACACCAAGAGAAAAGTGTTGACGGGAGGTGCTTCCAACAGATTGACAGCCTCAGCTCTATTTCTTTTGTGCTGTACGAAGGGGGGGCGCTACCTTCTAATCGGCTTTTAAAGCCCTCCTCACTGAGCTCTGGAATGTGTAATTTCAACTCTCCGCCCCCTTTTTTCTGAACTCTCAGACAAGCTTTATAAATTCAGCACTTTGAAGGGATGCAGAGAAGAGTAGACTGCAGATATACAGGTACAACTTATGTTGGAGGATTTGTTTCAGCTCTGTATCATCTGAGGTCAGTCACTTCAGTGGGTATATGTATTTAAAACCACTTTAAAGGTACCCACCAGACAAAAAATGAAGATTAAAGTGTTTGTAAACTCCAAAACCATACATAATGTATTTTGAGCAACATTTTTTTTGCCTAGTCTAATTTATTTTCTTTATTTGACCGGTTGTCATTTTGCTGTGCCTGCTAATAGAGATGACGCACAGTAAGCCTGTAGACCTGCAGCATGCTGCCAGTTAGTGTTACACATGCTTTATGTGTTGCCCTGGCAAGTTCATTGATGGCGGCTCAGGGATGCTGTAGACATCATCTCAAAGCACCTCTGCACTTCACACTGCTGAAGGCATGGCGTGGAAGGGGCCATCAATCAGTGACACCACTGCTGCTGCGTTAGACCCGTTTAATGCTTTGGCCATGTACAGCAGGGAAAATGCAACAGTGTGTGACGTAGCTGAAGAAATAGACTTTGAAAAGGTGTTTAAGGAAGCCTTTATGAAAGTTTTTTTTGTTTTTTTTTTTTTTTTTTTTTTATGCAGTATATGGTAGGACAAGGATCCTATATAGTATTACAGCTAGGAGCCACTTTCATTTTTGCTTCAAGTATATTGCCATTCCACCCAGAGCACAGCCCTTTTGTCTTTCTGCTATATCTTACCCTCAGCACAAACTGTACTTCCCATTATCCATGGCAGGAGTTATATGACCCCTCCAGTAGACAGAGGAGACATCAGGTGTCTTAACAGACCTCTGTATAAAAAGAGCCTGTCCTATTACAAATATTTCCTGTCCCAACTTTCAATCTTTTCCTCTGCTTTCTTACACAACCTGTCTTAAAGCGGAGCGCCACCCAAAAGGGGAAGTTCTGCTTTAAGCCTTATTCCCCTGCTCCCCATTAAGGATTGGCACCTTTTGGGGAGTGGAAGCCGCAAGCTGTCACAGCCGGGTGCCCACACTAAAGATGCCGGGGAGAGAAGATGGCCGGGCAAACCAGCCGTGGTGAGGACATCGCTGGACTGATGAACAGGTAAGTGTCTGTATGTTAAAGGCCAGCAGCTACAGTTTTTGTAGCTGCTGACTTTTATTTATTTTTTCTTCAACTGGAACTCCGATTTAACATTGTGAATGTTGTCATACCTCCTTGCCCACACTACCCGCCTTAATACCTTCCTCTCCTGCACATACTGCCTTCTGTCATGACCTCTGCACTTTTTTCCTGAAAATATTGCCTGCTGTGCCAGCCTTTGCACTCCTGCTGCCCACCTTCATACTCCCTGCTGTGCATGCCTGTACACACTGCATGCCTGTACACACTGCCTGCTGTCATACCCTTTGCACTCCTCCCTGCACATACTGCTTACTGTCATACCCTATGCATCCCTCTCCTGCACATACTGCCTGCTGTCATACCCTTTGCACTCCTCCCTGCACATACTGCTTACTGTCCTACCCTATGCATCCCTCTCCTGCACATACTGCCTACTGTCATACCCTATGCACCCCTCTCCTGCACATACTGCCTACTGTCATACTCTATGCACTTCTGTTGTGCATAATGCCACTCACAACTGCCCCACATGGGCACACTTTCAACTGTAAAACTTGTGAAACAAAAAAATTGGAATTAAAGCTACCACCAGGCAAGAGACCTTTTCAGAGGTAGGTTAGCAATTGCAGCAGGTCACTCTGCACATGCTCAGTTTGTTGTGTATCGCTACAGAGGTTGTTTTTTTTTTTTTTTTTTTTTTTTGTGCATGTGATCAGCACAGGGCCAATGAGCACTGTCCAGACAGATGTCAGGGGTTCTGCATCCACCTAGAGCAAAATGAAAATTCTTATTCGCTAAACTATTGGCTTTCACATGTGCTCTGCTGGACACTGATAGAAGTCACATGACAGCTCTACCTGCTAATCAGAAAAGGTATTTAGCATTTATATTTACTAAAATAAATGCACTTCCATGTTCTGTGTAATAGTAAATGCAGGGTAATGGGTTTAGTAACACTTTAAAGGCTTTGTTCATCTTTAAGTAAAAAATGATAAATGCACAGATGCATTTATACACACATGCATACATTGCAGATTAAAAAATGTGCATTTATTTTTTCTTACACAGGAGCCTGTAAAGTATTACACCCATGATCAGTGGATTGCTGATGCCATGTCAGGCTTCTGCAAACTCCCTCTCCAGATTTTTGCCCTTTCCTCCATACAGGCTTTCAGTTAGAAAGTTGGAGGCAGATTCAGTGGAGTACATGTACACTGATCAGCCTACTTGTCCATTGAGAACTACAAGCCATCTGTTGTGGTATATTCCAGGCTTTTGCGATGGTGGGAAGTATGTTTTCCAAAGAATCTAATCATTAACGTTTCTTTGACAGCGTTAGACAACTGGTTCTGGGAATTGAAAATGTCAAAGTTTCATATTACAATAAGTCGCTGTTATTGCAAAGGTAAGACCAGCTGCTCTCTTCATGTTGACTGCTTTTCTTCTTTAAACATCTTAAAGCAGGGGTGCTCAGCCCAAGGCCCACGGGGCACATGTAGCCCTCACCCTCAAACTGAATGCAGGAGCTTTGATGTGCTTTCAGAAAGTGCACCACTCTCAAGATATAACAGAAGTCTATGGCAAAGTTCAGCTAATCTGCAGGTGCATTGCAGCGCATCAGTATGAAAGTAGCTGTAGTGGGGGCTCAAGACAATAAGGGCTTGTTCACGTTTGTGGTTTGGGGGGGCAGTAAAACCCCATAGTTGACATGGGCAGTTACTACTTTGACCTGTATTGGTTGGTTGAATTGAAACATTAAAGGAGAAGTACAGTCAAAGCTCTTTTGGCTGTACTTCTGTGAATCACAGGAGTGCAGTTCGTTCTGCACTCCTGTGACCCCTTTTTCAGCTGACAGTGGGCTGTCGTCACTCAGCCGTTTCAGGCTGGGGAAAGATCCCGACTTTAAAGTTGGGATCCACCCCAGACTCTGGAGCAGCAGCTGGCTCAGCTTCTCAGCGAGCCACTGAGAGCCTGAGTTAGCCGCTCCCTCCACTGCCCAGCGCTACATTGAGGGGGTGGGGGCAGAGCAGACAGTGGTGACTGACAGTCACTGCTCTCTGCTCAGAGTGACTGTGAGAACTCGGCGGTCATGTGATCGTTGAGGTCTCACACTTCGAGCCTGCGGGGGACTGATGCTGCATCCACCTAGGTACCGTATTTGCCGGCGTATAAGACGACTTTTTACCCTTTGAAAATCTTCTCAAAAGTCGGGGGTCGTCTTATACTCCGGTATACGGCATACTGACACTTTTGTGTACCAAACTTGCGAAACCATTAAAATGTATAGAACAACATGGTGTTGCCAGGTGTTAACTAGCGACCAGTATATGTGTGTGTATACAGCAGTGTTTCTCAAAACTTTTTCCAGTCGGGGCTCCCTTGAAAAGTTTTATCAGTCACGAGGCACCCCTGTCCAGGGTTTGGTTCACGTTACTGTGTGTCGCGGAATTCCTGACACTCAGACAAATTCTGTGCTCTTTAGGGGTACCCCCATACATTGGCAAATACGGGGTGTTTTGGTGTGATGCAATTTTAACACTAAGGTCAGGAACAACTTTCCCTGCATTTCTGTGGGTAAGGCAGCCCATTGAAATGAATGGGCTGCCCTACGCACAGCCACACAGATGTGAACCAAGGGCCTGTTCACCTGGGAGGTTAAGGGGCAGTAAAACCACACAATTGAGCTGCTTTTACCACCCCCAACAGCTCCCCCTTTAGCTGCAGAAACAGCAGCTGGGGGAATACACATGCTGTTGCCGCAGCTGGAAGTATACCTCCAGGTGAATGGGGTTGAACTACAACCACACCACAACTGTGTGCGCATTGCACACAGTTGTGGTGTTGTGGAAACTGCAGGTAATGCGCACAAAAGACTATGTGCTGCACCCACACTGTTGCCAAACTGCAGCAGGGCAACATGTAAGAAGAATACAAAATAAAAAGTGCAGTATAAAATTTTAGAAAGTAATGAAATCCACATTGCAAAAATAAAAAATAATAAAAAATATTTTTTTTTGTTTGCTATGTGGTTTTGATTACTTTCTAAATGTTGTGCTGCACTTTTTATTTTGTATGCTTCATGCACATGGCCCTGCTGCAGTTTGGCCACGGTGTGGGTGGAGCGCAGGGTATGTATTTTGGGAACATTACCTGCAGTTTCCTATATAGACTCTATAGGAAGCCACAGGTAACACGCACGAAAAACGTGTACCCTGCGCTGCACCCACACTTTGGCCAAACTGCAGCAGGGCAGTGTGCATGAAGCAAACAAACTAAAGTGTAGCACAACATTAGAAAGTAATGAAAACCACAAACTCCGTAATGAATCACCATCATAGTGTGTACCTCCCAGAGCTCAAATGCAGTGTACCAATGAAAAGCTGTCTTTTTCTGCCCTCTCACACGCCAGCATGTGCTGTCTCAGCCTAACCTGCTAACAGAAGTGCTTGTCCACCGCAGCTAGAGCAGGCCTCTTACCGCACTCCCAGAAAGCCACGTGGGACGTGATGATGTCATCGGTTGCCAGGACGTGGGCAGGTTGCCCGCAGAGCTTCCTGAGTGCCGGTTACATCTGCATACGCTTTTTACTTTGTGGACTGGAACCGCTGTAAAGAAAAAACATTCCTGGTGATGAGAAAAATCTATTTTGCATAGATTGGGGGATATTTTGGCAATTTTCCTGCGGCACCCCTGGGGACTCCTCACAACACCCCAGGGTGCCGCGGCACTCTGGTTGAGAAATGCTGATATACAATATATGGCGGGTTACAAATACTTTTGAAGATTGTTATATTTTATAATATTCTGTATTCTTGTACATCGAATTTAAAATAATTTCACGTAGAACAGCATTGATTTATTTTTCTTTGTCTTGCATGCATACAAGAATGCAGGTATTCTACAGCATTCAGCACAAGTTACTGGAGAAAAATGCAGATTCTGAGTAAGTTTTCATTGTGACTTCCCGGGTATTAGTTTTGTGCACATACTGCAGTGTCTTAATAAATTCACACATTTTATTAAATTTATGATTATGGTTTTGTGAATTCAAAACAATGAACTTTTCAGCATGGTTCTTTAAAACCTGCAGCCTGCTATAAAGCAACCATATCAAGAAAACAGAAGGCAAACTGCTATCAGATATAACACACATGTACCTAGAGGTGCCTTCACATATCTGCACATAAGTGGAAAACTTCACTTCCTGAAATTGTCAAAGGCTTTAACACTTGACAGAGCTTTTACCTGGCATTTATGTTTAGTGGTGGAGGCTTATAAAATACCTCTATCACCCAAGTTAATAAAAGTGGGTTTAAGCCTTCACATCTCACATTCAAATGCCAAAATATCTCTGAGCAGGAGAAGCCTATTTCATAGCTGAATGACAAGGTTGAGGCCTAGTGCTAGAAATGGAAGGGCACGTTCCTGATCTTCATGTACTAGGGATAATGTGAGTCGGGACATCAGTACCATCTGTTAAATAATTTGACCACCTATAAATGGGAATGAGGTTAGGCCAGAGCTGATATTCTTGACAAGCAATAGTTGAAGATAATTAGTATAAGTGACAAAGGATTTTCTGTGTTAAACATTCTTAATGTCAGTGAGTGGATGTTTGATTTTATTTCAGGGCAATAACAAAAATCATGAATCACAGTTTGGCTATTGCGTCTCTGATACTTAAGGAACAGAGGGTAAGTTATTCCAGTTTGGTCTACATGAGGCTCAGGAAGTGGACTTTAACTTCCTCCAGTCATATGTAGTGACAATCAAATCAATATTGCCAGTTTGTTGAGCTGAATAGTTGCATGCAGATCTAGCCTGTGGAAAACCACACCAGTGACACATGAACTGCATGATAAGTGTACATGTGATAGAAAAAAATATTAGGTTCACTGATTAGCTTCTTGATTTGTTAATTTACTAGTCATGTACACCAATGGCATAATTGTGAACACGCTGGTCCTGTGAATTTGGAAACTATGGATATTTGTCCTTGCTGTCAGGAGTGATTGAGTCTTAATGAACATATAAAACCTATTTAGAATTTATATTGTAAAGCACTGAGCAAACTGTTGCTGTCAGGAGTGATTGAGTCTTAATGAACATATAAAACCTATTTAGAATTTATATTGTAAAGCACTGAGCAAACTGTTGCTGTCAGGAGTGATTGAGTCTTAATGAACATATAAAACCTATTTAGAATTTATATTGTAAAGCACTGAGCAAACTGTTGGCGCTATATAAAATTCTGTATAATAATAATAATCTGCAGTTGTCCTCAGGATTACTAACAGAGGGCAACTAAATGGACATTTAGTGTTTTTGCAGCCTTGAATACCGTGAAAGATTACATACTAGCTGTATCCAGGCATGGGGCGCCTATGGAGGAGAGCAGGTTGTTTAGGACCTATTTTCCCCTCTCGTCTTTCAGGACAGCACCTTGAGAGACCTCGGCTCCTCCCCACCTGAGGAAACACCTCCACCCTAAACAAAAACACCGTCACTCCCTCCCCTCCGACCTTCGTTTTGGTGTTTCCTCCAGTGGGGAGACATCTTGAGGAAGCCTCTCAGGTGCTGTCAGGGGACAGCGGAGCCTGAGGTGGAGCAGCATGGAGTGAAGGCCGGAGAGCTGACTGCTATCCTCTAGGGAAGGCTGCGGTGGCAGGGCTGTGATCTCTGGGGGACAGATGAGCGGCACTAACCTGTCTGCTGTCCCCGGCCACCTCCGGAGAGCTGCGGGTGTCGGGGCGTCCTTGGTGGGGTCTGGTGAGGATTGGGGAGGAGTCCCTCTCCTCCCATGCGTGCTGGCTCAGGAGCACACTGGGCCGGATGGCGGAGACGTAATTTCCGGTGGAGGGGGCGGGGCTTCTAGGGTCGCGGTTTCCGCTTCCGGCTGCGGCTCTATACACCGAGGGTCAGCGGCATGTGGCGGTGCGGTACCAGAGCCTGTAAGGTCAGGCAGACCGCAGAGGAGGCGACCACCCTCCTGTCAGATGTCCGGAGCAGAGGCACCGGGACCAGGTGAGGCCTGCACCAGCCAGACTCAGGTAAGGTGACTCAGTGGAGTCCTCCCCTACCTGTGGGCCCCAAGCTCCAGGGGTATTCCCGGCCCTCTTGTGGTCAGAGGGTCTAGGGCGGGGGGGGGGGGTCGGTCTTTTCAGGGTCGGGCCCTTGATCCCTGTCAGGGAGTAGGGGGGAGGACGGGGGGGGGGGGGGCAGGTAGCCTGGGGTAATAGGTTTCCTGGCTCTCTTTCTCCCTCCCTCTTGTCTTCCTACAGTAAAGCCCGTGAAAAACTTAAACACCAGGAGCCTAGGCGGAAATGCCCGTCTTGCAAGGTGACCTTCAAGGAGTCATGGAAGAAGGTGTTATGTGGGCCCTGTATTGAGGGGTTAGTGAGGGAAGAGAGTCCAGTTCAGGGTGATTTGGTTAAGTCGGTAAGGGAACTGACCAACACCTTTTGACTCCTTCAAAAATCTGATGGAGAGTCTAGCCATTCCCCAGGCGACGCCCTGTCCCCCCCAGCAGGCAACTCCTTCAACTGGCCGGGGCAGGGAGGACCAGGAGGCTGGAGAAGGTGAGCCATCCCTAGATTTCTAGTCCGAGGAGGACTCTGCAGGGAAGGGCCCCTCAGATGATCCCAGAGGTCCCTCTAGGTACAAATTGTCCCTTGAGGAAGTGGACGATTTGTTGGGGGCAATCTGTGATACGCTTGACACCAAGGAAGATAAAAAACCTCTATCTCTACACGATCAGATGTACCAGGGTATGGAGGAACAGAAGCGGAGAGTGTTCTCCATACATGAGGTTTTGGTGGACACAATAAGAAAGGAATGGCAGGATCCAGAGAAGAAGCCCTTTTTTTCCAAGTCCCTCAAGCGTAGATTTCCGTTCAGTGAGGACCCGTCCGCCTTGTGGAACAAAAATACGAAGCTGGACGCAGCTTTTTCCCAGATTGCCAGATAAATGGATTTAGCCTTGGAAGACATGGGAGTTTTACCAGACCTGATGGATAGGAGAGCTGAATCCCTCCTTAAAAAATCGTGGGATTCGACCCTGTCCAATTTGAAGCCGGCCATGGCCACCACTGTAGTAGCCAGGAATATGGAGTACTGGCTCACTCAGTTACAGGCGCATATAGTGGCCGATTCCCCCAAGGATAAGATCCTAGCGTCATTTGAAGTGTTATTGCAGGGGGTGGGATACATTGCGGATGCAACCGCAGAGTCTGTGAGGTTGGCAGCTAGGTCGACGGCCCTGACCAAGTCAGCCCATAGGGCCTTGTGGCTTAAGACTTGGCAGGGGGATGTCACGTCTAAGGTAAAGTTATGTGTTATCCCCTTTTTAGGTGATCTCCTGTTTGGGCCGGGGTTAGAGACGTTGTTGGACCGCACGGCGGGCAGGAAGAAGTCTTTTCCCCTGAAGCAAAAAATGCAGGATCTAGAGGGTAGGAAATTTCGGCCCCCAAAGAGACAGGGCCCTAGGTCAGAATGACAGTGGAGGACATGGGGTCAGAGAGGGAGGGACAAGGGAGGAGCGATATTCTGTCCTCCTGACCAGCCCCAGAAACCGCGGTGACTCGATTCCCCCGGTGGGAGGAAGATTGGCAGCCTTCCTCCCACGGTGGGAAGCGGAGGTCTCCAGCCCCTTTATACTGGACATCATAAGAAGGGGGTACCGCCTGGAGTTCTCGAGACCACCGCTGCAAAGATTACTGATAATAAACCTGCCCAGGTGTCCTCAAAGGGCCTCAGCCTTACTAGCCTCTCTTCGGGAATTGGAGGTACAGAAAGTTGTAGTAAGAGTCCCCGAGGCAGAGATAGGGGATGGGTTCTATTCCCACGTGTTTGTGATCCAGAAACCCTCAGGGGCGTACAGATTGATCTTAAATCTGAAACCCCTGAACGAGACCATTCGGTACAAAAGGTTTCGGATGAACTCGATTTTCACAGTCAGAGCCCTCCTTCCACCAGGGGCCTTCTTGGCCTCCATCGATCTGAAAGATGCCTATCTGCATGTGCCCATCGCAGAGGCATTTCAGAAATTTCTCAGGCTGGCGGTTCAGTGTCCAGCGGGGACGTATCACCTACAGTTCCGGGCCTTGCCTTTCGGGCTCTCCTTCTCGCAAAGGATCTTCACCAATGTTTTGTCCGAGGCGTTGGTCCCTCTTCGGCTGAAGGGAATTTCAGTGGTAGCCTATCTGGACGATCTCTTATTTGCAGGCTCAGCAGATCAGCTCGCACTGGACTTGGCAGTAGTGCGTAGCCATCTGGAGAGTTTGGGATGGCTGCTGAACTTGGACAAGTCCTGTCTGGTCCCATCCCAAAGGATGACCTATCTAGGGTATGTTCTGGACTCCGCCTGTCAGAAGACCATGTTAACCCCGGAGAAGCTCACCAAATTAGACGGGGGGATCAGGCGATTACTGGGAAGCCGCAAAGTATCGTTGAGGCAGGCCATGTCGGTATTAGGACTGTTAACTTCGTCCATCTCGGCGGTACAGTGGGCAGGGTTGCATCTTCGTCCCCTTCAACTTTTCATTTTGAGCGTCTGGGACCGACAGCTGCAGTCGTTGGATGCCCGGGTACAGATTCCCTCCAAAGTAAAGAGATCCCTGTGGTGGTGGAGGAAGACAGCCAATGTAACTCGGGGGCTGCTATGGAGTTTTCTGGCGATCAGGGAGATCACAACAGACGCCAGCGCCCAGGGATGGGGGGGCGCACCTAGGAGAATCGGTAGTACAGGGCGAGTGGTCTCCAGTAGAAAGGGGGGAATCCTCAAACTGGAGGAAGCTAAGGGCTGTATTGGCACTTCGTTCCTTCCAGAGCTTGATTTTGGGCCATCATGTCCACGTCCTTTTGGACAATGCAACAGCGGTGGCCTATGTGAACAGACAGGGAGGGACAAAAAGCAGGTCTCTCTGGGCCCTGTCAGCGGTGCTTCTGTCTTGGGCGGAGGGCAATCTCGCCTCCTTATCGGCCGTCCACCTAAAAGGGGATTTAAATTGGGTGGCCGATTTTTCAGCAGATGGCGACTGAGAGAATCGGAGTGGGTTCTAAACGGGGAGGTTTACCAGTCCATTGTAAGGAAAGGGGAACCCCAGACATAGACCTTTTCGCGTCAGGTCAGAACAACAAAGTTCCGAGATTTTTTTCACTAAACCGGTGGGACAGGGCTCGGGGCAGGGGGATGCGTTAGGACAGAAGTGGGATTTCCATCTGTGCTATGCCTTTCCCCTGGGCGCTTTACTGTCAGCTGTGTTGAGGAAGTTCAGGTCCGAGAGAACATCTCTAATCCTGTTAGCTCCGTACTGGCCCCGTCGAGCGTGGTTCTCAACGTTGAAGGCCTTAGCTACGCGGCCACCTTGGGTATTACCCCCGCGGAAGGATTTGCTGTCGCAGGGCCCGGTCCTATGTCCCAGGGTGGAGAGGTGGAAACTGACAGCTTGGTTTCTGAGGAGCAGCTCCTGTTGGCAAAGGGACTCTCAGCCAGGGTGGTGGCCACGCTCTTAGCTAGCAGGAAGAGGGAAACCCAAGCCATCTATAGGAAGGTCTGGAGGCGCTTTAAAGATTGGTGCTACAGGGCCTCAGCGGATACCCATAGCCTAGTATTGGTGCTGGAATTCTTGCAGGCGGGGGCCGATAAAGGGCTAGCAGCCAGCACACTCAAGAGCCAGATTTC